AAAGCAAACCCGGGCAAGTTAAGACACACCCTGAGGGCGTGTCTTAACAGGCTGGTTTTTGCTTTGCCTTGCCCGGTTTTGCCAGGAATACTTTTAAATTCTTAACAAATACCGTATGCTTCTTAAGCCGTTGCTTTTCTTAAACACATAAATTAAAACGTAGGAGCCACTCATAGCACGCCAAGTCACTTCTTTGGGCAAGGCAAAGCAAACCGCAGCAAAACGGGGCATGTTAAGACACACCCTGAGTCCGGTCTGTCCGGTGTACCTCCCTCTGCCGACACTGGCCCACCTTCCCCACTTCTATTTCGTCTCCATCCCTTCTAAAAGTATCCACGCGTCCGGCCCGGATTTCCTAGACTGTCTGCGCGCGCTCCTCTAAAATTCATATAAAATCTTCATCTACAGTATAAAATCTCACACTACAGCAAAATGTAATTTTGCACTAAAATGTCCTCACACTGTATTAAGTTGGTCAGACGGAGGCGCTTGCCATTTCCGGTAGGATACGGTTGGTACATTACTGCTAGGACACCGCCCTGTCTTTAAATAAAGTTACTCCATTTCGATATGGGATATTTATGCATGTCCCACTTTGGCCCGGACACAGTTTCGAGGAGAATCGTGCTTGCCGGTAACTGTTCAGTCCCTAAATCGTATTATTTTCCTAAGCCGTATCCAGAATTTCGATAAAATTGCGGAACGTATTACCTCCTCCTGCCTCCTTCGCGGGAAATAGTGCAAACCGAAGTTTCGCCCCGACTCTGCAAACCCATCTCGCGCCATCAAAAAGGGCGCCGCATTGCGTCTCGATAATGGACTGCATGCTGCCGACTAAAAAAACCGAATAGAACTACAGAAAGCACAAGTAAAAGTGGGATCAGTCCACGCGTTCTCCTTTCTCAATAACCCAGCGTTCCAACCCTTCAATTACATGAGTTCACAGGACTACAACGCCGAAATGCCTACTTTGTCGCAGATTGTTAGCAGTTTTCGTGCCTCAGGGAGACGTTTATTGCGCGATGCTGACGTTGAAGAGAATGGAACTATTAGAATTAGAACTACGGGAGGACGGGAGGGGCACATCTGACGTCTGATGCAGTTCTGGATGCGTTGAAGCGCAGAGAGGAGGTCCGCAGGGGGAGGCAATCTCCGAAAAACGATGCCATGAATGAGAACTGTGGGAAGGAGACGGCCTCCGAAATGCGTAGGTTATGTGCTCTCGCTCTAGAAAGGTCAGCTCGAGCTCGGATTTTGTCACCGACAAGGAGGGTTCGTAGACAAAGTGCAAAGATGAGGGCTGTGAGGCTTGCATTTGAGACCTGATTGATGGGCCACGTCGCTTTTTTGAATGCGCCAGAAATACGAATTAGGAAAATCTCTTTAAACAGGCTTCATTTGAATGTTTTTGGTTGACGTGTCGTCGGAGCGGGTGCCTATCTCCAAAGTTGACTGTTGATGCCCCAGATGCGCTTTCGTTTGAAGATGCGCTCGGCTCTTTGAAGTGTCCAAATCGCTAAAGAAATAGTATTTTTTGGTTTAAATCTATCGAGCTTAGTTTTGGAAACAGAAAAAATACGGTTTAGGGACTGAACAGTTACAGGAGAGGAAAATTTTCCTCATATGCGCACTGAATACGCGGATTTTCCATAAGTTGAAATGTGTCCCACATTAAGCCAATGAGAAGGGTGAAAGTGAGTGTATATAAGAATTCTCTCAACATCCCGCTGCAACGGAAAAAATGTCCGCCAGTGTGTATCGGACTATTACTGAGGAGTAATCCTCATATGAGGACAAAGTTATATTTTTCCAGACGAGGCAAGGCGCGATTTAACTTTTGTTTCTTGAAACTAGAATTCCATCCACACAGCTAAAGCATCTGCTCGTCAGTTTTAGCAAAAACCAACTCGTTGGCGCACATGAAGCTGTTCAAAAGAAAATGATTGCGTACAGTAAGCATTTTTCTCTGAGCTAAATTTATACCAGCAGCATAGAGACATTCCGTAGAATGCTTTCAACTTCAGAAAAATTCGAAAGCGCGTCAACCTACCAAAGAAAAATAGAAACCGTGGAGATCAAAGTGGAAAACAAATAAAAATTGCAGATTTTTATGATTTTTTAATGTGATGATAACGCTTTGTTGGATATACACTACATAGACATGATTCTAGTGTCTAGCCGACAAGTGACCTCAAATGAGGCCATTTGACCTCATAAAAATAATAAAATAAGTTGAACCTCAATCTCAAATGAGGAAAATTGTCGGCTAGACACTAGAGGTCTTGTTTCTCCCTACTGTATCGGCCCAGTCCCATGCCATACTCGACCAATCTCCACTCGCTGCACGAAACATCAATGTGTTATTGAGGAGCGCATGCATGGCAACAAGGTAAAATCTGCGCTACTCTTCACTCTCGGTATTTAACACCGGTATTTAACAAGGGCAGGTCGTGAATGTTCAGCGGTCCTATGCCGTTTGTGAGTATATTGAAGCCATGTTCAAGTTGTCCACAGAAGCGCTGCATAGTATGGAAGAAGCTTTCGTGATTTCCGCTGAGCAAAATCAACCAGCGAGTCCTGAGCAAGATAGTGATGGAGAGGCCATGTTCAAGCGAGCAAACCTGCTGAGAAACGGCGAAGACGGAGTTGAGAAGGACGCCGCACGAGCTGTGAGGCTGTATGGGAGTGCGATTGAGGAACATGGTCATGTCGGCGCGATGGTGGGCCTCGGTAATCTACTGACAGAGGGCGCGGAAGGAGTCAGCATCAATGCACAGCGCGCTGTGGGGCTGTATGAACGCGCGGTGCGGCAATACGATGATGCCGATGCAATGGTACAACTCGGAAAACTGCTGGCGAAGGGGGCAGAAGGAGTGGAAACGGACGCAGTACGGGCTGTGGAGTTGTATGAAAACGCAATAGACAAACATGAAAATGTTCGGGCGATGGTGAAGCTTGGATTCCTGCTGGAGAAGGGCGCAGAGGGAGTGGAGAGAAATTTGGGTCGGGCTGTGGAGTTGTACGAGCGTGCGATCGAGAAATCTCATGATTGCAACGCGATGTACAAACTAGCAGGTGTATTGCACAACGGGGGGGACGGGGTGGCACGGAATTCAGCGCGGGCTGTGGAGCTGTACGAGGATGCAATTAAGGAGCACGATGATGTCGACGCCATGGTGAATCTCGGTTGCTTGCTGCAGACGGGCGCAGAGGGAGTGGAGAGAAATGTGAGTCGAGCTGTCGAGTTGTACGAGCGTGCGATCGAGAAATCTCATGACTGGTACGCGATGTACGACCTCGCACTTGTATTGAGCAAGGGAGGGGACGGGGTGGCTCAAAATTCAGCACGGGCTGTGGAGCTGTACGAGGACGTGATTAAGGAGCACGACGAGGTCGACGCCATGGTGAATCTCGGTTGCTTGCTGCGGACGGGCGCAGAGGGAGTGGAGAGAAATGTGGGTCGGGCTGTCGAGCTGTACGAGCGTGCGATCGAAAAATCTCATGATTGCAACGCGATGTTCAACCTAGCAGATTTATTGAGCGAGGGAGGGGACGGGGTGGCACAAAATTCAGCGCGGGCTGTGGAGCTGTACGAGAAGGCGATTAAGGAGCACGACGATGTTGATGCGATGGTGGATCTTGGAGTCCTGCTGGAGAAGGGCGCAGAGGGAGTGGAGAGAAATGTGGGTCGGGCTGTCGAGTTGTACGAGCGCGCAATCGACAGAAGTGGTGATGTCAGTGCCATGTACTATCTCGGACTCCTGCTGGACGATGGGGCGGAGGAAGTGGAGAGAAACGTGGTTCGGGCCATCCGATTGTTCGAGCGTGCGATCCGGGAAGGGCATCATGGCGGCGCTATGCGCAAACTCGCATTCGTGATGATGAATGGAAGGGAGGGTGTTCTGCGGGATGAAGTCCGAGCTGCGAAACTCTTTGAGCGCGCGATCCTGGAGCGCAGTGATGTGCGCGCGATGACAGGGCTGGGCGTGCTGTTGTCACATGGCGCGGCAGGAGTGGAGCAGAATGTAGTTCGCGCAATAGAATTGTACGAGCGCGCGATCGACGAGGCCCAGGATGCCTTTGCTATGGTCGAACTGGCGCGCCTATTGCAGGATGACGGATACTGGGTGCGGCCGAATGCAGCGCGAGCTGCAAAGCTGCTTGAGCGCGCGGTTGAAGAGCACGACTACGTCGAGGCCATGGTGCAACTCGGGGAAATGCTAGTACAAGGCACTGGGGGAGTGCGGACGAACGCGGCTCGTGCGGCGCAATTGTACGAGCGTGCGATCGAGAAGTGCCATAACCGCGACGCTATGCTTAAACTGGCCTGCCTGCTGCGGGACGGAGCGGACGGGGTTGCGCGGGATGCAGCGCGAGCAACGAGGCTGTTCCAAGCCGGGATGAACGGGCGCGATGGGGGTGGGGCGATGGATCTTCTCGAGCGACTGGTGCAGGACGCAACCGGGCGGCGCTGAGCCCAGCACGGGGCAAACGGGGGCAACGCATGGGGGTCCGGCAATCTGAAAGGGGGGAGGCGGTGGACGACTGCGCGGGTGACTTGTTCACCGACGTCGCGGGCATCGGCGACGTGAGCACGCCTGCGAAGGAGAGAGGGGGTGGCATCCTTGGTGTCACGCGGCCGGCCGAACAAGTTTTCCGTTTCGGCATGTAGAAAACCTCGTTGATCGCTATTATGCCCTCAAGAGTAATGGCTTTGGCAATGGCACCATGGGTAGGTACGATGAGCGACGAGGCTGAAGAGGAATGCAAGACTTGGACATGAAAACATAGGATTGCTAGTCCAATGTGTTCTCGTGACAGCTGGGCCCCACTCGTCAGCACCCAGGTCTCAGATAAGCGACGACGCTGAAGAGGAACGCAAGACTTGGACATGAAAACATGGGACTGCTTGTCTAATGTACTCTCGTCAGAGCTGCGACCCCCTCGACAGCGTGCTGGCCTCAGGGGTGGTCTGGGTCTTCAAAAGGGAACAAGGCGGGATGACCGCGGAGGAAGGAGCAACGTCAGGGATCAGGCGCTGCAGCCTGACGCTGAAGCCTCTGCGCCACGGATCCAAGTGTACACGTGACATTGGCCGCTGTTGAATTCTCTGCTGAAATGTGTCTGCTGTGATGCAGCGGTTGGCTGAAACAGATCTTCGGGAAATTACAGTAGATTTAATTGATAATTACTAAAACAGTAAGCGGAGGATTATGGTCAAGGTGAGGGTCTGGTTAACAAAACGTGGGGCGACCGGGTCGGCATCGACACCGTTATCCCCGCAGAAGGAGTAGAGCGCAATGCGGTACGAGCGAAAGAGTTGTGGGAGAGGGCGATCGACAAGGCCGCTGACATCACTGCGTTGGTCAGTCTCGGGAACCTGCTGTGGAATGGCGCAGAAGGAGTGCCCCGTAACAGGACACGCGCGATGTGGTTGCACTTAAGGGCAATGATGAGCAAGGGGTATAACGGCGGTACAATGAGCGGTGTTTAGGAAGCGTCTGCTGTCTAAGGACGCGGAAATCCTCCCAGAACTGAGCGAGGAGGGCATCGAGACGAACGCCGTGCGGGCTTCGACACTGTATGAACAAGCGATAGTTTTTCGGCAAGACAAGGGGTCTGAAGCACGGCGCATATAGCACTCGAAAGATGATTGGTTATAGTGATTATGAAATATCGATGAATTCTGAGTGATCGCGTGCTATATGCATTTCTATCCTGGGCCAGGAAAGAAACGAATATAGAGATAGGTGCTTCCAGATAGCAACCGAAAAAAGCGATTAGCGCACGCACCAGTTGACATGCCAACAGGGGAAAATCTCTAAAATTTCGAAATTTAGCGCACTGGTTGCCTTGCTCTAAGAGCATTACACTGTACCACTCAACGCCGGTATCTGGCGCGTACGTGCGCAGCCACGTAAACGGCCAATGGGAGTGGCGCATTAGATGAGTACAGTAGTACAGCAGGATGCGAGTTTGGGCGGGCGGTGCGGCGGTGCTCCCTTTCATGTGACAGGTTTCGCTGCAGTCGCGCATATTTCCCGCTCCGACAAAAGACCATGTTCAATGTTTCAATACAACGGGTAACACACTGCTATGTAGACAACTGCGTCACGTGCACGCAATGCTCTACTTTAGATCACAAAGGACGCCTGCTTATACTTTGTGGACCGAGTACACCCACCAGTGAGATGCAGCACAAACGTAATTTACTGCACGACGACCGGAAACAAAAGAATTGACTTGAATACAGTGCGTGCGTCTCCGTAGTGTGCTATTGCATGTGCTTCAATAATGTTGCGCCTGCGTTTCTACTTGCCGAAACCGACACCAGCGCAAGGCCTTTCTTGCGCCTTGCCTCATCTTCCGAACACACTTGAGACTGCAACGGACGGAATACAGCACGCGGCAAAGTGATGCATGTGAGGTATGAAAATTTTCTTTCGCTCAGGTTGTACACCGCATTAGCCAGTTGCCGCCGTTTGTTTGCACCACTCCTCTTCATCGACGACCGCCATCGAGACAGGAGCAGATGCAAGGTAAAGCATTTCTATGCAAGACCGCCTCCCACGCACAGATACGAAACTCTTGCGCCTTCCCTGTCGATAACCACCCCCTCAAAAGCATCATCACAATTATACAAGGAAGACACCTCCAATATCGCAGCCGTACTTCGTCGTCGATATCTCCAAGATATTGCGCTCGCCGTGTATTACTGCCGTGTCACTGTGATTTTAGATGCAATGTTCTCCTTCTCTTCTGGCAGAAGCTGGCCTCGGAAGTGACAAGCGCCGGCTCCCTGCTTCCCATATCAAGCGCATAAAGCCATGCCTCGACTCGAAGACAACCACTCTGAACTGCCGTTCTTCGCATTCTGTGCGCAAAACGCAACGCAATGAACTTCTTATTCAAGGTCACCACCGTTCTGGTCTTCCTTCAGTCCATCATAACCCTCGCCATCGCGCAGATTTCGCCGATCACTACCTCTGACAATTCCAACTCAGCGAATGGCGCTGTCTTAGTTGACGGCTCGTTTGCTCTCGCATCCAGCACAGCGTGGGCACACGCCGGCAATCAATGGCAGGAAAGCCAGTATCCGTGGGACGCTATTCTGGACCTAGGACAGTCGTACACACTCTCTTCGCTCAACTTTTTTTCAGGTCAGATTCCGTTTCCACCATCGGCAAAGCTTACCATCAAAGGCTCCAACACAAACGGACAGGATTACACGAAAATTGGTACTGCCACTGCTCCTTCCTATAACAACTGGAATACTGTCGTTCTTACCGGTCAGTTCCGGTATCTGAAAGTCGGTTTTATCCTCAGGAATAAACACTTTGCAATCACGGAGATCGAGGTATTTGATACGTCACGGACCAATGCTCTAACCCCGACTCCGACCCCATCTCCAGACGTCGGAGACGTTACATGGAACCCGAACACCAACCTTCAAGCAGCAACACCCCCACCATCGCAACAAGCATACCAAAATACGCACTGGCCGAGTAGCCATCTCAGGCATTCTAATTGTGCCGAAAGTCCGGAGTGGCCTATTGTTGGCGTCGCCAATGTCTTGGGTCGGTCCGTAGGACACCAACATTTCTGTGGTATAACTACCTTCGCCCCGAGCACTCGGAAACGAGGGGGGTTAGAGGTAAGGGAGCGCGCGCCGCTGGGTAACCCACGCGCGAACGCAAACCGTACGGAAGGACTCGAAAAGAGGGAATGCTCACGTGGCTGGTGACGCGCAGCCGGTCGGTAGTGTTACATCCGGACGGCCGGTCACGGGTTAGAAGCCTGAGACTAAAAGAGAAACCGGAACGGGATAGCAATTATCCGTAAAGGGAAGGGAGGCGAGTCTGCCCCCGTTTACTGGAACGGGGCAGGTGCCCCCGGTCTTAACCCCTAAGTGGGACGCCAGGACACCTGTCCCGCTACAGTAGCTATTACTTACTGTATACCAGCTACTGCGCTAAATTGGCTAATTTGTGCCATTAACTACTAATTGCTAATTACTTACCGGACGGGTCGCACACGTGTGCCCGTGGCCACAACCGGCGTCGACGGTTATGCCACGTGTACGCCGTGAAGGTACTACTGCGCTTTCCGACTGCCCGTGCACAATTGCTACAATAGTAACCGCCCGTCCAGGCGGTGCTCATCTCCCATCGGGGGTCGTGGTGTGGAATTGTACCAGAGACCGCCTTCCTTACTTCGCGACACGTCCCCGTCGCGGCTGGGGGTTGACATGACCGGCCTGCAGGGTGTCCCATCCGTACGGAGAAGCTCGCGCCGACCACAGGGGCGCGGGCGGACTACGGCCAACTCCATAGGGGAGCCTATGGAGTTTTTGGTATTTAACCGCGTCGGATCCCCTGGCGCTGCAATGGGTCCCCTCACGCTCTCCTTCTCTCCCACATCACCCCACATCACACACCCCATTACCTCCACTTCCTAATCTCGCCCCCTCCTGCTGTCCTCTCCCCGCATGGATAACCGATCATCCGAGCGGGGTCGCCCCCCTCGGGCTCAGCTCCCTGCGGCGCCAGCCGCGCCGGTACCGTCCTTTCAACCGGCGCTGGCGGCGGGCCCCGTGGGTCGACCCGCGACGAGCATCGCAGCTCCGCGGGTGCGGGCTTCGGGCGCGGGGGTCCTTCCCTGGCGCGGCCCTACCGCCGTCCAAGGTCCCCTGTCGCGCCCTCTGCGCTCCGCCCCGGCTCCCCACGTCGGCGAGACGACCGTACTGAGACAGTCCCCCGACTGGGTTGTAGCCGCGAGGCAGGCGGCGGCCGGAGCAGATAACCATCCGGCGCCGCCGGACCCGTACGCGACCACGCCCCCGGCGACCGAGGCTCCGCCGTCCGGCTGGCTCCGGACGGGTGTTCGTGCCGTTCGGGGTTTGCTACCCGGGGCCGAGTTAGACCACCAGATTCCCCGGGGTGGCCGCAACCCCTCACAGGCGCAGCCGCCGATGTCCGTCGAGGCTTACATCGGGACGGCCTTCCCCGATGCCGCTCGGTTTGGGGCCATCCCCAGGCGGCGGGGTATCCGCACGCCCTCCCCTCGCGGACGAGTCCGCCAAGACAACCGCCTGGCCGCTTGGAGGACCCGCTGGGTCCACGTGCCCCACCGCGTGATGGCGGATTCCCGCTCGGATCTCCTGTACATCCGCTGTGCGGGGGAGGACCAGTACCATTCGCAGTTGTTCGACCTCTTCGAGAGGTTCGGCGGGGACGTGGATCCTAAGTCCCACGTGCAGTTGGTGGCATTCCCCCGCCCGTTCGACCGGTGGTACAGCGTGGCCAACCGTGTGCGGTGGGGCGAGAATTCCGCCAAGGAGAGCCGGTTGCGGTGTCGCCGCGCCGATGCCTACTTCCACATGTGGCACACGACGGAATTCTTCGCCGTGCCCACGGGGGCCAGGGGGCCGTTATACCCAGCCTTACCGAACGGTTGGAGCAATCTGGAAGCTCCACAGTACCTCTGCGTACCCACGCGCAGCGTGCTGGCGTACGCCGCAGCGCGGTGGATGCTGGACGGTTCCTTCGGGCGAGAGGCGACGCCCGGGATGCGTCGACTGATCGACGCCATCTTGCTCTGGGAGTGGGCCGTCCTGGCGTTGCTGTGTTTCCTACACGCCGCACGGGACGGCCTCCCGTTCTTCACCAAGTGTCCGGACCCTCGCCTAGCGAGCCAGACCGGGAACGAACCCGGCGAGCGAGGCTCTCTCTTCCGGTTATCGGCGGGGCTTCTGCAGCTCATCCTATCGGTCGGGGTGGCCGCCATCCTCGAGGGGACGTCATTCGACCCGGTTGGCGCGGAGGCCATCCTCGATTTTTCCGAACGGTTGGACTGGTCCCTCCCGGAGCGCGGCGACTTCCTGTGGTACAGTTGGGCCCGCGGCTGCTCCCTGCCGATGCCGCATTGGGATGGTACGTCGGCGGAGGCCGACAGCTGGTACGACCCCCTGCCCGACGACGGGTCGCCGTCGTACGGTGCGGTCATCGCCTCCGGTGACGGATGGGGCGCCGCGGTTGCTTCCGCCGGAACCCCCGCCGGACCGTGCATCGGGTCTCCGCCCACGTCAACCGCGTCGGTCCTCCTGGTGCCGGGGGACACCGCCCTCGGAGAGGGCCTCCCAGTCGGTCCCTCGACGCCTCCCACGATGGGCGACGCGATCACTGCAGATTCTCCGCCGGTGACCACGAAAGCGCCGGCCAC